ANCCCCCCCCCCCCCCCCCCCCCCAGAGCACTTGAACCACCTGCCGCCTCCCCAGACCCTGACCCGACCAACGATTCTGCCTCCAGGTGTTCTCGACTTTTTCATGCTGCGCTTTGCCGCCGTCATCATGGAGCAAGCCACCAGCTCAGGCTCCCTCAATTACATCAGCTCGGGCACCGTCTATTTTGACCTCGTCTTTGACTACCTGGGCGCTGCTCTGCCACAATCAGAGGCTGCTTTCAACGGAGCCCATGTTCAGTCGGCCCATCAGCCGGCCCTCTCTCCGCGCAAGCTTTTGGAGCAAGGCATGCACCTTTGCTCAGACACCACGCCCACCCCTCCCTCTTGCCTTTCCTCCTACGCCGAGCTTATTTGAGGTTGCTACCCACCCACACCCCGCAGGCTTGGCCACCGTGCAGACAGTGCAGCAAAGTCTCTTGCACCCGCATCGTTCCGCAGCCTCTCAATCCAGCGCCCACACAGGGCCAGCTATCTTTCCTACAGCCGCCTCCTGCGAGCGTGTCATCATGTGCCTCATGCTCACGTGGGCAGGCAAGGCCATGGCCCACCGAGACATTGAATCGGCAATCAATGCCGATTGCATTGGAGCCCTTTCCATGGTGGCCCGCTTCCACCACTGTAGTCACAGCTTTTTGCGCTCGAAAAGCAATTCGGCGTTCCACCGAGAGCTTTTGCGGTGAGTAGCTGTTCCGCAACCCTAACCACCTGCCCATGACTCAAACTCAACCTGTGACCTGGGGGCACGCTTTGCCACAGCTCGCTAGAAGACGTCGTCGCTCCCGCTCTTCAGCGAGCCGTCTACCACGTCCTGGATCAAGCCCTTGACCCAGAAAATAACCACTCATACACCGACGTGGTGCGTTTGCGCACTGATTCAACACAGTTCACATTCTGCCGTTCAACCTCGTGGACCAGACTCTGCGATCTGAGAGGCACACGTTCATCGCCAGATCGGTTGCAAGGCTAATGGTTGTCCATGCACCCCCAGGCACTGGAGCTCTGGTTCAAATACGGTCGCCCCTGGCGCTACGGGTACAATGTTGCCCGGGACGCACAAGAACAGGGCTCATATACCTCGGATGCTTGGTGAGCCCTCTCAGCCCCTACTTCCATCCCCTAGCTCATCGGAGGCGGGTGGTATTGGAAATCTGACTTGTCGACGTGGTACATCGCACGTGTGCTCAGGGCTTCGTTTGTGGAGGCCAATGCACCACTCTACTCGATTGGCTTCCAGCACCTAGCCGCTCGAGCTGTCCACTTTGACTACACCTTTGATGCGACACGGTGTGCCACTCTTATCTTTCTCTTCGAACCCCCAACTTGGCGCCGTGTTTTGCCAGCCTCGAGCTCTCTTCTCAGAGCTTGGTGTGGGCTTGCTGGGCTGACTTTTGCGCCTGGCCATGTGCAGATGGGTCAGCGGAAAGCCTCCCAAGGAGCAGATTCGACTTCTCAACTGCCTCGAGGTTTGTGAGAGTCAAGCCACATGATGTGCTTTTAGATCTGGTCATGCGGCTCAGCCTCCACTCATCCCCCACTGACGCTGCGATGACACCTTAGCTTTTTGCTGGTACAAAGGTCACCCCGCAAGATAAAGATCTCTGTGAAGGGACACTTGGCTACGATCTTTGGAGGCGTACGTTACGATGCATCCGGCTTTAGCACGGACACTTGACTCCTGATGAACCCAACCCAGCATTGCGTCCTCGCGACCGGTCCGGGACCGGCCCTGACCCGAATATGTTCTTACTGTTGGGCGTAGTGGAAGAAAATTGCTGTTTACACGGCTCGTCAAACTCGCCGATTCAACAAGCGGTCCGCTTGCGCTCTTGGGCTATCGATCCCGTTGCAGCAACGCCGCAGTTAGATTCACCCGCAAGGCCCTCATCGATGTATACATCGTGTTTGTTTAGCTGGCGCGCCTTTCCACCACGCAGCAAGTCGCCTATGTGCCCATTCTTTCGGAAAAATGCCCACCCATCACAAAAGCGACAAGCAATGGCTCCGCCGCCGCCGTTGTACGCCTCGCCTCGCCTCGCGCTCGTGTTTTTGCACTGCAGCGAGTGACCAAGCGAATCCCCCTTACGGCACGTGGTGGCAACCATTTCGAAAACAGGCTCAGACACGCTTCCTGCAAAATATCAGTGCCATCGGCAAGGCCCTACGTCACGCGATGAACGTGGCCCGTGAGCGTGAAGAGAAGCTAGACCGTCGCGCACACAAGTGAGTAGTTGGTGTTCCGCAGTTGCCTCAGCCCCATGTGCAGCTCATGCTCTGTCATGTTCACATGTTCATGTCCACTGCAGCTGGATTGCCTACGTTTTTCCCGATCCCGAACTGCAGCCGTCCATGCGCTCGGCTCTGAGGTATAGCACGCATAGCCTGATCACCCCGAGCGCGACCAGTCTCGATTGAAAAGCTCACTCACGCTTTACACCAATGATTCAAATAGGCGCTATCAAGGGCACCTAAGCCGTGTTCACCTTTTACTACACAACCTCTTTCAAGAGGTGGCCATTGAGGTGAGTCTAGTCTATTCTTATGCCGTGGCTTGCGGTCTTGCTAATGAGAATGCGTCGTACGTCTCATGTACCTAATTTTTATGTTTTTATATTTTTTGTTTTTTGTTTTTTTCGGGTGTTTTGCTCGAGCAGGCCACCACGCGGGCTGCCCCAGCATCTTCAGGCCTGCACCTTGGTGATGACCGCCGACAGCAACTCGACACGTTTCGACGCGTGCGGTTGGAGGCGTACCGGCACAAAAGGTGCGCTTAGTTTCGAGTCGAGTGCCAACCATTTCCGCTGCCCATCCTGTGGCTTAATTTCATACCATCGTGCTCATCATTCGGGCCACCGGGCCGCGGTAGGCATCAACCACGGCGATCCTTTGAAATTCCAGTCATGGTTGGTCTTCTGGACAAGCTCTCTGATTGGATCAACGATGAGTTTGAGATCAAGCCATGGCTCAAGACCAGTGCTGAAGGTGCATACTCGATGGTTCCTGAGCGGCTGAGCATGCGTGATGCAAGCGCCTTTCTCATCAGCACTGTGCCCTGTAATCCTGCGCAACGGCAGAGGCATACGCAACGATTGAGGATGAGCGGTATCGTGGCGAAGGCGCCTTTGCTGTTTGGCCCATGACATCAGCCGATGGCGCCTTGGCCCGTGATCGCTACAACATCGTGGTCCGCCGCCATGGCGAGGTGGGTCCCTATACCATGCCTTGAGTTAATTGAGTGGACAGCCGAGCCTGACCCCTTGCTCGTGTGGACACAACATTTTCGACAGAACCACCGAGACGTGATCGTGTCCACCGCATCGGGCATGCTGACGCTGGATGGCGTGGAAATGTTTGGCGAGATTGGAGAGCTGGTTCGCTTTTATCAGGTTGGTCCGCCCATGTCCCGTGGCCGTATGCTGGCATCGATGTGCCGCATTTTTCAGGAGCTTTTTCACTCGCACCTTCAGAATGAAGCAGTTGCACTCACACACGCTTCCATTTGGATATCTTAGCGTGTTCCTTACTACCTTGATCGAAACGGGGCCGCACATATTCTAGCTCAGGTAGAATGGCTTTGTGCGATGCTAGACCTTTATATGCCGTTCCCGGTCCCGTGATGTGGCGACCGCTCAACCCCTCACGATGCCCTGTCCCCGTGCCCGCCACACACCTACAAACACCCAATTGGCCAGTACCCTCGCACCATGGACAATTCCGCAAGGGAGACGTGCTTTGCTGTGCGACCACGGAGTCGATGGACTCTTCGCTACGTACCTTCATTCCAGGAGATGCTGCTGCCCGCAAACTTGCGCACTCTTGCAAAGTGGCGCAATGTCATCTATCTCTTCCTCCTGTACTTGCTTGTGAGAAACACGACCTTGCCCATGGCTTTGCTGCTTATTGCCCTTGTCTTTTTTGCTGGGTGGATGACTGTCCAGCTTGGTCGCGCTCGAGGCCAGCTCCAATGAGTGAAGGACTCGACATCAATTGAACGCCGACATCGCCCACTTTCACTTCAATCCCACGTGCCATCGAAACATTGCTCTAACCACCGAAAGGCAACACCCCGACTCTTCGGCATGAACCGGCAAGTTCAAGATCAGCAAGCACAAATCATAACCCCACATTGTTTACGAGCTTTGTGTACTTCTGCTGAAGTCCATACGCGAATAAATAAATCAGCACCGGCATCTACCCCTCCGTCGATCGGGCCAGAATAAAGCACAAGAGAAAGCGCCCACAGGTGTCAGGCTCCAGCACGTAAGCACGGATTTGACGCTAACAACAGGTCTGAATCGATTTTTACGTGATTACGGCCAACATGCTCTGATGCGCTTGAAATAAAGTTTGCAAGGCAAGCTCTAGCTCTGCCTGTTTTCCGCTAACGTTCCGGAGCGAACACCAACATGTTGACTTAGACAAGAAGCAGTGATAAGATCAGCGCAAGCAACAGAGTGCTTGATGTCAAAAGGTCCTGGAGCAGGTGTCTCAAGGGGAAAAGCAAACACTCACACCCTAAAACAACACTCACATCAAATAATTCAACGAAAATCAGAAGAAATTCCTGGAAAAGACTCTCAAATCAAATCATGATCAACCAGTGACTTCTTTGTCATCATCAGGTGGAGATGTCTGCCGAAGACACGACACGGCTCGATCGCTTGTCAGAATCGACTGCCTGCGAGTCACGGGGACTTCGCAATACGTGGGCGCATTGCCATCTTGTTGATGTTTGAATTGCTTTTGGGAAGTTGAGAAATAGCGGCTGGGGCAGCAGGGAGGCCGCCTCTATCTCATCAGCCTTGCTCAAGCGCATTCAAAGTCAGAGGGATAAATTAACGAGAAAATGCCATGTGATCTTTCATATCATCGAGGCATGAGCAGCACTGGACCATTGTCACGGCACAGCCGTGCGACAACGCCCCTTAAACGTGAGACGACACGACCACACATACACACATTATTTCCGCCGCTGTGAGAGGACCTTATCCACCACAACATTGCCAAGAGCGTCCTTGATGCGGACCCGGCCGTTACTGTACTGCGTTTCCTGACGCCCGTCAACATAGACAATCTTGATGGTACCATCCGGGTAGCTGAGAGACCAGCAACACAACGCCTCCGATGTGAGGTCAATCGTTGACAATTTTATCGAGAAAAACAAAACAACCAAAGAACAAAACCTTAAAAAACCAAAAAAATAACCACAGGACGCTTTGTACTTACCGGCGCTGAGAAAACTCTGAAGTATGAATCTCGCGTTGCCCGTCAGGGAAATCGATGATCCGATCGCCCCCCACTACTCGAGAAGACAGGAACCACTTGGCCATCAGCTAGCTACCCATGACAATGGAACAAAAAGGCTCCGTTGCAGTATGCACCCATCGCGCACGATAAACGTACCGAGGACGCGTTGAATCGTGCCGTCAGTAAAAGTAGTCTCCTCCTCGCCTGTGGCGTACAGCTCTTTGATCGTGCCGTCAACAAAGCAGATTTGTTTTGAGCCGTCACCGCGATGATGCTCCGTCTGTCCCGTATGGAACTTGTAGATCTAAAATGGCAGAACCACAGGCTCGGAGGTCAAGCCAAAAACAAAAAGGAGAGAAGAAAGGGAGAAGGGCCAACATGAAATTGAAGAATGTCGTCAACGAATCCAACCTCGTCTCCGTTGGGCAGCGTTGTGTGCTTTGTTCCAGCCTCTTGGTAGAAATAAACGACACGCCCATCTGCATGCGTCTCCTTTGTATCGCCGTTGAAAAAGGCCACGTGGACGCGCCCATCGGCAAAGACCTACGCAGTCATTCCATCCATCCATTTTCGATCGAGTCAAGGTGTGCGCAGCCTCTTGCGGAGTGCCACTTGCGAATGCCTTGCTCCCGGTTGCAGTGCGGAAACAAAAACAAGAAGAAACTGTTTCAAGCCTACGGCAGTACCCACCTTTTTGACCGTGCCGTTGGGAAACTCGATGACTTGTGTTCCATCCGGCAAAATCGTCTCCGAACGGCGACCAGCCTTCTCAGAGCCAATGATTTCATCAAGGCCATCCTCGTGCTTCTCAGTGTCTAGGGCTAGATGATGTATGCTGTTATTCAGCGTGGGTACGTCCACTGTCTTGTTCTCAGCTGATGATGGCAGGAGCTCAGCCTGTTGTTCCACGTGGTATATGTAGACGTCGGCCTCAGACTCATCAGCACTCTCAGCTGACGACATGGCACCTTGCTCATATGAGGGAGACATGCCGCTATCGCGCAGGTGAGGAGCACCATTTAGTCCACGCGTGTTCTGGATCTTCACCGTGGTGGAATTGCTATGAGGCGCCGGGGTACGTTGCTTCGCGGACAAATGCCCACTCGAGCGGTTGTCAGTTGTAGACGGCACGCTTCGGTTGTCTTGGTGTGCTAGCGCCAGGCGTGCCAGCTCGACTTGCTGGAGCTCATCGCGCACCGTTGCTAATTCCTCTTCGAGCCGCCGAACCTGTCATCCACAATCGTATGAGAGCCCAGCGTCCAGTGGGCGCAACACATGATTTGGTGTGTTTGGAGGACACGGGCTCACCTGGTCTTGATAGCGAGATACAGTTAGATTATGGCGCCGCTTGTTCTGCTCGAGTTGTTCCCGCAATTCTTGATTTTCTTGCTCCAGTGTGGCAATGAGCTCTTTGGCCTCACGGCTCGGGGCAGCACGCAGTGCTTCACTGTCGACGCGTTCACAGCAATAGCAAGTGCAGTTAACTCTGCGGTCGTAAACTCTACGAGTGCCGCCTGGCCCAGCCCGCCCACCAGTTGGCTTACCGGTGTGCGTCCACCATCTTGCGATCTCGACGCAACTTCTTGAGCTCGCTCTCTTTGGCCTAAGGAGGTTGGTTGGAGAACATGGCAGCGTGAGGCACAAAACAGGCGGGACATTTCGATTTCGTTGCACGTTTGATGACAAGACGTACTTCAGCAAAGTCTGCTTCGTCCTGCTCGCGTTTCTTTTGAAATTCCGTCATCTCTCGCTGTAGAGCAGCCACAGCTGCAGGGGTGGATATGTCCGATGAGAACGAGGGCCAAGAGGTCTTTGTTTGTCTGTTACCACTCAACGCGCTGGCGTCGAGAAGAGAAAAACGAAAAAAACAAAAGACAAAAAAACAAAAAACAACAACAACAACGCCTACCTTCATCGTGCTCCTGGCGCAGCTGGCGCAGCTGTGAGTTTTCAGCTTTGAAGTAGGCAATTTCAGCGTTGAGCTCATCAATCTTGGCTTGCACAATACCATCAGCATGTGTTTGCGACTTGGAGGGTGGGCGGGACACGTCTGTGTTTCTGGAACTGGCACATAGTCACAAGCAAGTGAGAAAGGGTGCATGACACAACGCCACGCAGAAGTTGAGTTGTTTGCACAGTCAATGTCCGATACATACGCATGTGATTGGGTCTCTGGCTGGGTGGGGATATGCTCGCTCAAAGGGGCAGGAGCTGATTCATGCTGGGTAGGATGTTTGCTTGGAGCACGGTTGCTGCTATTGGTTGCGGCACCGCCAAAGTACTTGGCCACAAGCCGCGACTGCGGCCTTTGCGCAAAGGTTGTGGTCTGACGGGCTTCTGGTGGCGGGCTTGTTTCGTCATGCTCCTCGCCATCAGCAATATCACTCCCATCATCAGGGTGCAAGGTATCCTCGCTGCCAGTTTCACTAGGCGTGCCATCCAAATGCTGCGCGTGCTCCATGTTAGACTGCAACGCTTTGCCCTGCTTAGGCTTCGGATCTCGGAAGGTGGTTGCAGTTGAGGAGGGTGCATCGTGTTTCCAATCCTCTTCAAGAGGGTCAAGGGGCATGTCACTATCACTCCAGGCTGAAGCGTCATCAAGTTCGACCTGAGAGGGCAGTGCGACCACGCGCCGTCGCGTTGAGGTGCTTCCTGTTGCAGGGGCAGGCGAGCCGGGAGGGCGGGCCACGAGGAATTCTTGTGCATAAAGCTCCTGATAATCCAAGTCAAGACGGGCTGAGCTGCCAAAGGAAGCATGATGGTCGTGTGGTGGGGGCAAGGCTGAAACCTCGCCAGGCCAGTGGGAGTGGATGGAACTCTGGCCCACGACCGCCTCGCGTACGCGAATGTGTTTGTGCGAGGCCGGTCGATCGGTCGGCAGGGGTTGGTTGGAGGCGATTGAGCGTACTGGGGCCGCATTGCGACGGCTTGTCGGGGTTGTTCCTGGAGTCAGAATGCGCTCCAAACTCTCAAACTCCATGAGCTCATTCTCATCGATGACGCGCTGGTGCTCCCACTGGGAGCGGGTCAAGTAGAAAGATGCTTCTGAAGCCGTGTCGTCCAGGCTTGGAGCAGCAGCCGGGTCAAGCAGGGCTCGGGAAGGAGATGCTTTGTTCGGGCTAGCTGCTGCTCTTGCTGCGGATACCGTTGGGCGAGATGTTCGGGGGGGGCTCAGGGCGAGGTGTTGGATTTTAATTGGCGGTTGCTTACGCACAGGGGGACCCAGCGCCGTTGTCGTTGAGGGATGTTGTGGACGCATTGAGGTTGGTTCTGGCGCTCCAAAAGGATCGGCATAATCCTGAAAATCATCATCCTCATCGTCCTCATCTTCGTTTTCGTTTCGCTTTGCGCGATAGGCCGGGCTGGCCAATGTTTCAGAGTGATCGTTGGTGTCCATGGCTGTTTGCTGTTGAGGACGGGGCTCACGTGTTTGGCGTGCAGATAATTGGGCAGTGCGCTGGCGCTGAGATGGCGCAGAATTGCTGGGGCCCGCGGAGGTCGGGGCGGTAGATTGATGAGTCTTGTTGCCTTTTTTCTTCCAGGGCTTGACAGGCTCGACCTTGGCAGCCATCTGGTCCTGGTCAAACGCCCGAGGCTTTTTCAGGCCATAGCTATAGGGCAGGCGAAGGCGCATCTTTGAGTCATGGCGTAGGGGGCACAAGGACGAAGGACTGCGGGCGACATTTGGATTCTCATGTGAGCGGCAAAGGGAGGCCCCACACACCGTTGAAGACCGGACCCTTTGCGAAGAAACGGCTTCTTGGGTTTGGCCCCACCATTGTTGCCGGGCGCCGCAACGGTACCACCACCACCACCCTCATCTGGAGGCAATGCACTCCGCAGATCCATCCCGATGGCGTGCATACGACGGACCAACCGCAACGGCAGCGATAGAGCCGAGGGTGTAGCAGCGGAGAGCGAGCCACCACCGCCTCCTAGAAAATTCAAACGTTTTTTTTTTTTTTAAAAAAAATGAAAGAGAGAAAATTTTTGCGTTTTAACGGTCACACACACTTCTCTCTCTCTCTTTCTACCTCTCTGTTTTCTAACAATTCATCTCTCTCTCTCTCTCTCTCTCTCTCTCTCTCTGTCTCCCTGTCTGTCTGTCTGTCTCTGTCTCTGTCTGTCTCTCTCTCTGTGTCTCTGTGTCTCTGTCTCTGTCTCTCTTTCTCATTAGATTCAGTCAAACGGCGAACGGCAAAAAGCACTTTGATTACTACAAGTTCTAACACAGTGGATATTATATACGCTGCAAAAAGTTCATTTATAGCGTTTTAAATCCTTTCTGAAGTGGTATTCAACAACGCCCTCAAAAAAGCCTTGATCCATTATTGGCTTGGCGATGACGGGCAGGGGGAGGGACGTAGAGAGAGAATACGGTAGGGCCGCTGGGGTTTGATGGCAAGGCAATTCATTGAAAGAAAGTAAGGGGTCTGCCATGAACTGTCCCTCAATCAAGGTGGTGATATGACCGAATGTTGTGGCGCTGGCAATACACGCGAAACGCTGGGTCTTCGGTACCGCCAAGCACGTCCCACAGCGCATTGGCTGGGCCTGTCACGAGATGAGGGCAGTGTGAGCAAGGGGTCTAGCCATCTTATGATGCAGGCACGCGCATAACACGGCACGGCGTAGGTTCACAACACAACGCCCGCGATGACAAACCGCCAAAGTTGCCGTGGTTGTTCGTGTGATGAAAATCGTGGTAGACAGCACCATGGCCATGGAGCAACCCCAGCCGACCGAGCCAGGTGTTTTGAAGCATCAGACCGCTATGGATCTCGTAGGTACGCCAAAGCCTCCAAGTCAAGTAGAGCCACCATGTGGAACAGTGCATGCCCACAAGCAGCGGTCCAAGCACGACGGGTAACTGTGTGTTGTGACCAACCCAGACGTAGCAGTGTGAGTTGAAGGCGGGCTGAACGAGGCCAGGCGGCATGGCTTTCACAGGCACACAGTTGGCAGCTCACCTGGTTGGAGAGAAACTGTTCCAAGGTGCCCGCATACTCGGCTGCAAAGCCCACCGGTCCTTTGTATTCATGGTGTTGCTTGTGGAAGCGGGCATAGAGCTTGGGGTGGTGCAGCAGCCGGTGTGCCCAGTAAAAAACTAAAACGTTGAGTGTCACAAATGCAAGACATCATCAGACAGAGGGCCAGCTTGGCTTGCAAGACGCTTCGGGCAATACAACCGGGCATCGACACGACGACCGGCTCTGCTGCTGGATTCGAGCGGTAAAGGCGCCAGCAGCAGTGGCAGAAGCCAGGCGCGGTGCTACTTGAGCAGAGCATACCTGCATCATTGAGTAGCAGGGATATGGCCATTTGAGCAGCGGCGACATGAACGGCTGGACCGGGCCCATCGAAGCGCATGCCTCGGTCCACAAAGAGGTGGTAGATGGCCCAGCCAGTCAAAGGCTGGATCAGCCAGTGGCCAACAAATGAGGCACGCAGCGTTTTCCAGATGAGCGCCGTACTCGGCTCTTGGTGCGAAAGGCGAGGCAAGTGGTAGGCAGCCAGCCGTGGGTCTTGGCGGGCAGCCAGCAACAGGGCGTTAAAGCCGTAATACATGCTCTCGTGTACAACCATCGTGCCGACCACAAAGAGAGCAATGTTGCTCATGGGCCACCAGGTTTGCAGGGCGGTCACGAGGCTGGTGTAGATGGGGTGCCAGAGAACCATCAGCAACCCAAAGAGAGTACTGACGCGCAGCGTGTCACGCAGGCTAACAGCGAGGACGGTGGCCACGGCGGGAGGTCGACTCACGTCCTCGCTGAGCTGCTTGAGGGGCGGCGGCGTGGCTGTTGATGCCGCAGCCGCCATGGCAGATTTGTGCTGACCTGAAACAAACTCGAGCGAATTCGTAGTCGAAGAAGCGAGATGTCGATGCGTGGCCCACAATTGGGCGTGCGCGCGGGAGGAGATCGCAGAGCTTGAGGCACAGTTCGCGGCCCGGGGCACGGACGGATGGCGGCGGCGGTGTCAGGCGCTTTGGCAATAATGTCATCATTCTACTTTTTTCTGACAAGCCATAAACACATGTTTAAAACAAATCGGATGTATATTTCAACCGGTGTAAAAACGTGTAACAAAGAGATGTTGTCATCCAATGTCTTACCACTTTCACAGCGTGTGTTGGGGTGCTGTACGTATGGGAGATGGCGCCAGCGCGTAAATATGACGCGCTCGAGGGGTTGGCTGGCTTTTCGGAAAGCTCGAGCTTAGGATGGCTTGACGACCGCGGGCGCGCTGACGGGCGTGGCTTGGCGGGGGTAGAAAGTGCAGCGGGTGGCTGCCATTCGAACATCCAAAGAGATGAGCATGCAGAGACCAGAGCACACCACACCCGAGTTGTCAAGAGCAAAAATAAAGCAAGTTCCGCTTGCACACGCACCATCGCGCACAAAACAGGACGCAAGTATGTGTGTGTGTGTGTGTGTGTGTGTGTGTGTGTGTGTTGCTAAAGATGCGCGCTTGACGCGCTGACGATCACACTCCATTACATTACACATCCTTCTTCGCGTCCCAACCCAGGTTGCGCCCTTCCTTCTTTTTTGCTTTCGGTTGCTTGGGCGGAACTCAAACTGACCCAACGCTGCGCTTTCTCAGACTAGGCTTCGACTTGTTTGAGGCGCTCTTGTACAAGCCTCTCTGGCTCTTGCCTGGCTGCCGTTGTTTCGTTTTAAACTCGAGACTCCTACTGGCATTGCTTCCAGTCGCTGCCCTTTCCGGCCTTGCTCGCCGCGCTCGCGTGACGGTTGCCAGCCAGAGGGATGGCATCGCCCGCACCTGCCCCACCGTTAACCCCGGAGCGGCGTACATCGCGCGATCGCCACGAGCTATATCGTAGCCTCCGAGCAAACAATGATGCCTTGGATTCTGTCTTGGCCGAGCGGGTCTTCAAGCTCTCGGAACAACGGCTTCACAATGCCCACGCCGCTGCCGAAGTGACCCAGGTTCAACACTGGCTGCATTCCCATCCCAAAGCTAGCGCGGCAGCTCTCCTCCTGGCAGACGACGCCAGTCTCATGAATCTCGCTGTCTCCCGTGCGTGTGTGGATATGACCTTTGTTGCTTCCTACTGTTGCCTTCACCTCTGTGAAGATGTTGCGCCTCACCTTTGCCTGACCGTGCCTGCTCGATAGTGGCCAAGCAGAGCAGCCAAGCCAAAGCGGCCAAGGGCGGGCTTGCTCTGTTGCGGGCTTCTTTGCAGCGCCGCCGCGAAGCCGAAGCTCAGACGGCATGAGAAACAGGACCATCGCTCATTATCAGTGTTTGCAAGTCTTGATTGTTCCTGTTTCGTGCTTTTCTTTGTGCATGTTCGTCACGTAACGTAAAGATATGATTGTGATTGCACAGATTGGTTCTGTGCACCTTCCTCTCAAAGCGTAACTGCACTCGACATGCATGTGTATGTCTGAGGCTGGATGATCCCACAGGCTCGGCCCTTTTCAGGTATGAGAGATGGAGGACATTTTGTAGCGGTGATCGGTTCCATCTTTTACCGACCATACTCTACTGTTTGGGCGGGCACTTCTTCTCAGGTTTAACTGCCGGCCGGGGCCGGATAATTGAATGCTTTACTCATTAAACAGGATCACAGCTGCGTTCGTTGAGTTGCCACACAGTTCGATTCACACGTCACACCAACAACGTCTGGAAACCAATCAATCAAGCAGTCATCGACAATGGTGGCATCATCCTTTGCACCAAAGCGAGACAAGCCTGAGAGGCAAAGACTGTAAGTGGAGGTTGGCTTTGTGCGCCAAGCCATCAATCAAGAGGCCTGCAGCAAAAGCCTTGGGGGGAAATCAGGGCAGGGTTTAAAGAATAATCTCGTTCTTGCGGCTCTCGGTGAGTTGCTTGTGGGGAAGGACCAGGCAGTGTTGGATAAGAATTTCATCCCCGACCTCGACTTCCTCACCCAGCACCGCGATGCTCGGCTCAAGCTTGCCGTCGGTATTGAAGATGGGTGGCTGGCTAATGTGCGTCGAGGGGTCGTTGGGATCAGCAGTCACGGGCAGACCTTCCACACGAGCCCAGCGGCCCAAGGTTGAATTCCATCCAATCACGCTGTTGAACGCGCAGCTTTGCTCCTGCACCCCCGCCCATCCAAAGCCGACACGTGAGCCGTTCCAACACAACCTGAATCGGATGGGTGCAAAGGGCAGCGAGGTCGTTTTTAGTGAGGGTACAAACCGCCATTTCAACGCTGTCAAGCAGGATCGTGTCCTTGACACGGGCACCGGCATGGATCTTGACGTTGGGGCCCACGCTGACGTTGGGGCCCAGCTATTCATTATTAGCACCCAATTCGTCATGAGAAATCTGAGCCAAGCCTCATCTCGAGTGGAAGTGGTGCCTGGTCCATGCAACGGGAGTGTGTCACCATTGAAGCCTGACGCACCTTTGCTGAGGGATGGACAGAGGCCGAGGGGTCCACCACGACGTTGCCGACCACCTTGAAGCCTTCCTCTGAACGATGGAAATGAGCAGCCACGTTGGTGGTGCATACTTGTGAGGGCAGCATATTATGAAGGTTTGAAGGTAATGCCACGCAAGTCAAGAGGGAGGAACCAACCGGAGGAGCGAGCAAGGCGCTCAGGTTCGTGGCGGGCATACTGCTCCAGGTAGTGGCGATTGGCATAGACAGCGGACCTTGAAAAACAAACAAAAAACAAAAACAAAACAAAAACGGCAGGCCATGAGGTTGAAGGGACAGGGCTGTCTCCCGTCGAGAGGCGTGGCCGGGTCTTACCCCGCTGTCTTGACTTGAGACCAAAAAGCAGTGGAGGGGAAGGCAAAGAGATGGCCATTGTTGACCAGACGCGGGACAACGTCCGTTTCAAACATGATACGCTCCTGAATACCGTCGGCGGTGCTGCGGAAGATGCTCTTGATGGTGTCAAAGACGGCCGTGGACATGACGTAGATGCCGGTGTTGATGTGCTCTGAGACGAACGAGGAGGGCTGTGGACAGAGGCGATAGGCCAGGGAGGCAGGTGGATCAGCTGGCCAAAATGGGGCACCAGCGGCACTTTCGGTGACAAAACTCTACCTTCTCAACGTAGTGGACGACGGAAAAGGCCTTGTCGGCGACGACACAGCCATATTGTTTGGCCTGGTCTTCGCGTGCCTTGACGGTCAGCATGGTGGTGTGCAGGCCATCACCGACGCAAGAGTGGAAGGTCAAGAGTTCTAAGCGTGGATTGTGTTGTCGGGGAACAAGGGGGTGAGCGCGTCACGCGGAGACCAGACTGGTTTGGGGGCTCGAGCGAGCAAGGACCCACCATTAAAATCGACATCGGAGCAAACATTGCCATGGACGACAAAGACGGCATCTGGGTTGCCGCGGCGAACGAGGTCACGAAAGTGATACATGCCGCCTGCTGTTCCCAGTTGGGTGTACTCTTGCAGATAGCGGACGGGCAGGCCCAATTCCCGCTCGGCATCGCGAATGAAGCTGGCAAAGTCTGCCTCTTGATAGCCGCCTGCGGAAGAGCAGGGCAAGATTCAAAGACGGAGGGGGAGGGCACACATGGGTAAGCGCACGTTTACCCACGCCAACGTCGTGCAACGCGGGGGAAAAGCACAAACTGAGAGGCGAGGTGAAGGGCCGGGATCAAAATTCCGCCACGCACCGATGATGAGAATCTCAGCCATGCCCTTGACAGCCGCAGCCTTGCTCATAATGTGCATGATGGAGGGCTGGTTGGCAATGGGCAAGAGCGGCACGGGGCACTTGAAGGAGAGGGGGCGGAAGGGCGTGCCTGAGGTCGACGGGGCACCGCGGTCAAGGCACAGGCACAGGCACAGGCCATCAGCGATCGGGGCATGTCCACCACACGATGCAAACTTGAGGCGGGGCCCAGGCAACAATCCATAAGGTGAAGCATTCTCACCTTGCATGACACCACCCACGAGGATGACCGTCTTGATCTTTTGAAAGCTATGCTTGCTTTGCAGGTCGGCGGTGTCCTCGCCCATTTTCTGCGTGCACGCGGGTAGTGGTCGGCTTAGTGCCAAGGCACCTCCTTGTTGCAAGACTTGGATGGGGCGATGGGGTGGGTGGCACGGTTGATGGCGCACGTACCACGCTGATGCTGCGTTTGCGCGAGTGCGTCTTGGCGCCACTCGGCGTGGTGCCCTGCATGATGCGGAGGGCAAATGGGGTCAGAACAGTTGATGGCCCTCACGTCCGACCCGTGCCTTGTAGGGGTTCAAAATCAAATTGGGGCAACCGTGTAACCTACCATAACGGCGTCCAGGTTGGTGCTGCTCGAGGGCGGGGTTGAGGATTTGTAAGGGGAAGTGTCCATTGTGTCGGTTTTGTTGGATCGAGAGCTCAACTGGACCTGGCAATTCCGAGGCAAGATCAGCCGCCGCACAAGTGAAACAGGCGCACGCAGTGTGGGCAGATCGAGAAGAGGCCAGGTGCAGCGGCATCCCCACAGCGACATCCACGACAGCCCGAAAGAGCAGCAGCCACAAGAGGGAGAGGGAGGGAGAGCGAGAACAAGGCTCGTGGGCGCGGGGCCGATCAAGACTTGTGATTGTGTGTGTGTGTGTGTGTGTGTGTGTGTGTTTTGGCTGCGGTCTGTGGCGTGCGCGCTGTAGGCGGCCCAACACCAACACGCACCAGCCAGCCCTTCTTTGCCTCAAACACACATGCCACACATGCTTCAATCAACAAGTACCCCCACACCCACCCCGCCTCCGGCACCGTACAGCCCCGGGAAGAGACCGACCGCGCTGCCGTTTTACCTCACTTACACGCTCACTGATGATCGAAAAAAAAAAAACTGGTTTGGTAAACAGCTCACGGTTTCGCCGGAGACTCGGAGACTCGGAGACTCTCTGACATTTGTCGGTTTCATTTGTCAGATTATTTTTCATCACCACACAGTGTTGTGTGTTGTTTGAAGAAAGGGAGAGGTTGGTACGCTGAATTTGAAATGCCGCCCCCTCGGACCTTGAATGACACAGGCAGCGCCAAAACGGTTCCCATGCCATGCGCGCGCCGGCACACACGCGCACACGCGCTCGTTTCAATGCACTTGTGGGCATGCGGCGGGGGAGAGCGTGCAGGGCATGGGTGCGGTTGGCAAAGATGCGAAATGGCGGATCAAGGGTCGGCCGTGGGCGAGCGGGTGGCAGGTGAGTGCAACAGCCACCCGCGGCTCCTTACACATGAGCGAGTTTGACAGAGAGAGAGAGAGAGTGTGTGTGTGTGATATGGGACAAAGCTTTCCCCCCTTTCCTTAACGTACAAACCCACACACACACTTTTGATCTCAAACTTTTTTTCTCTCTCTCTCTCTTCTCTCTCTCACACACACACACAAGAGACACACACACACAGCTCCTGTTGTAAGCTACTTACTGCCTGCTACCTGCAGCTACCTGCTAGCTAGCTGCTGCCTGCTACTGGTGGGAGTGGTGGGGGTGGCTGCGCATGAGGGGCAGTTTCTTTCTTTTTGATGGTGGTGGTGTGGGTGTCGCGTGTTGAGCTGTTGATGCGTCAGGGTTGACTTGTGCTTTGGCATTGTCGGTCACGCGCACGCCCTGGGCTGGGGACCGCCATTCCTATGCCAATCCCCCGGTCCCAGGCCCTGCCCTGCCCGTGCCTGCATCCTTTTGATACCTGCTGCCGTTCCAACATCCGGCCTGGCCCGGCCCGACACGACACGCACTGCCCATTGTTCATGCAAAGGAACTTGCCGGGTCCGCAAGCCCACCACACCCCCATCCACCAAATCCATTGGTGACCTCCCCTGTTCGAAACCACAAACAGCTCGGCCTTGCCACGGTGGGCCCACAGCCCTGCCGTTTAGCTTTCGCCCCTGCTTCTCCCCAGTCTCGGCCTTGTGCTTCTTCCCTTGGACTTCAGAGTGGTCCCCCAAACTGCCAAAACCACAGTCCTCGGGCTGGCTGGGTCCTCAGGCACGAGCCTGAACCTCCTTCACTCTTTGATGATCGTTGTTGTTGTTGTTGTTGTTGCTACCGGTCCTGGGCGCCAGATGCTGCAAGCGTGATCTCCTTCTTTCTCTTCCGCCTCTGCCGGAATACGCATCCACAGACACCACGCACATACATTCTCCATTCAGCAGCCACCAACCCCTTCCAACACAACCCTCAACCATGGACTGGCTTTACCAACTCTCCTCAAGTCAAGCACAGCTTGAGAAACGCCTTTCCGGTCAGGCCCCAAAATTCGCCGTCTTTGCCCCCTTTGCGCCTCTTGTTCTTGTTGCGTCCGTGCCGTTGCCCTTTGTCTCTTTTTACACCAAGCGCTGATTGTCCTCATCCCTTCCTGCCCGCTGTGTTTTGTTTTCAAAAAACAAAACGAAACTAAAACTTGCCCCGCCCTCGTGGTCCATTTCAGGTCGCTCCACCACGCGCTCCCGCCGATCAGATCGAGCATCCAACACGCGCACGTACGCCTTGACGCCTTGACGCACTTTTGTCGCCACTCACACTCTTTCAACTTCAAACAAACAGCTCATCGCATCACTTGGCTTGCTGATTCGACTCGTGGCGTAGTTTTGCCGATCATCCACGCGGTGATAAGCGCGAGGTTGTCCTGATCGCCGTCGGCGACCGCGCATGCATTTATGACTGGAAGATGGGCTTGGTCATGCCCAAGCATGAAGTTCAGCCCAAAACAGCCAAGGTCGCTGAACTCCCAGATACTTCAGCCGATGGCTTTGTGGATCAAGACCCCTTGAATGCAAAAACCCTCTTCGTGCGCAGTTTTGAGCCTCCCCACAAGACGTGAGTGTTTGCCTTGGCCCGCCCGCGCCACGCGAGTCTTCGAATCCCGCCCGCATCGATTGGCACGCGGCTCGAGCATGAGCTTACGCTCTGGCTCCATGTTGCCTGACGATCCGACCTGCTCGCTCCACGATACGATCTATTGACAGTTATCGTTTACCCGACTACCGTGTCTTCCGCTGTGAGCCTGGCACCGAGCCGTACTCGACCATTGAGCAGTATCAATACTTTGACGAACTCGACTGTAAGTCTCTCCAGCTCCACGCTGCCCCTTCTGCCCTGTACGACTTGAAGCCGGCACCGATACCGGGTGTGTGGCTGCGCTGCTGCATTGCCTTCTCATTTTACACTTGCTCCCGCCGTTTTTGTGCCTTCTTCCACCAATAGTTGTCATGCTGGCACGCCGTTTTGAACGTAATGGGACGCTCCCTGAAGGCATGGATTGGCCCCATGTCAAGGCTCCAATCGAAACAATTCCATCGCGACCCACCTCGCCCCCGGCCAAGCCCTTTACCACCGGAGTTAGCGTGGTCCTCGCTGGCGAGGACGAGCCCAACAAGGCCCATTCACAGCGGACTGAGCCCGAGCGCGAGAGAGAGCGCGCTCACACGCAGGACAACAACCAACCCGAGCATTCTGGTAGCGGCACCGACCCTCTCTCCGTGCGCACCTCGCCCTCCAGCGTGCCCTCCAGCGGGGCGACAACCACGTCAAAGGCTCACTCGCGCCTGAATGGCCAGGACGCCAACCCAGACAACAACGATTCAAATCAATCCGAGGCACAGCATAACGGCGCTTCAGCGGCCGGTCCCTCCACTTTGGGCAAGCCTTCCTTGGATCCCTCGGAGCGAGCTGATGAAAGCACTTCCTCCGACACAGGCACACATCTTGTTGACAAACCAAGCGCCATCGCTTTGCGGCTTCAGGACAATGCCTCCAGCGCCACGAGCCCGACTGCCACGGAACAAACTGTAGCTGATCAGGCAGAGGGCGAGCCACAGGCCGCAGATCCCGGGGCCAGCAGCGCACCCGGGTCAGCGACCAGCTCAAGCGCCCCGGCGGTCCCACAAAGCCGCCAGGATACTTTGGCCAGCACGGCATCAGGTTTGGCGGATGGCCCCAATCCAAGCTCGCCTCTCAAAGCGGATGCCATCTCCAGCGCCTCAGCCAATGACAGCCACTCCGCCTTGGACAGCCAAACAATCGCTGCCCCCCCGGGTGTGGCAAGTGGTCGTGCTTCATCGCAGTCAGACCATGGATCGCCGTCAAGTCCTTTACTGAGCAGCGAGCATGAGGATGGCCTCGGGTGAGTCGGCGAATATTGTCTCACAGCATGCTCAAATTTAGCCATATTGTTGCTTGACAACTGCCCTCATGACCACGGCCCGCTTTCTGCTTGGGTACATCGACAGTCGCTCATCGCGCAATAAGCGTGCCAAGTCTTCTCGCTCCGACTCGGTGAGTGTTTGCCTACCTTCCCCCTCATTTTTGCACATTGGCTTCTTCAGGTTTGCGTATGCCTGTTTTGCTCAACATGCTTGGGATGGCGGTCTCCTGTGTGGACGTAGGCATCCAGCAAACGCGCCAAAAGCGCCTCCCCAGACTCGATGGGCCAGGATAACAAGGTCACCATGCCTCCAATGCCTTGGGAAGAGGCCGATGTGTGGGCCAAACTGAGCTACGAGGAGCAGATGGAGGTTCTCAAGCTCCGCTTTCGCTTGCACCAGTATGTTTGACTTGTCCTTTTCTTTTTGCCACTGCCAACCCCGAGACAAAGCGAGGCGGCAAGCGTGTGGCTCGGGCTCCCTTTTGCTCGCTCCAACGATGTCTCGCACCTCATGTCTTGGTCGTTGTTGGACTGCATCTCCTCTTTTAGTCGCCTAGCCAAGGGCAGCCCGGTCAAGCAACATGAGAGTCGGCGTCGCCGGTAGAGGGCTGGACCCTCGTATCTTTCTTGTGTTTGGGATCCTGTGTGCTCTCTTCGACCTTATTTTTTTTTTTGTGTGTGTGTGTGTGTTTATTTCGTGGGGAGGCGAGTATCTTGGTTGCACTTGTCGAACCATTGATTTTTGTCCTCGTCTGACGTGCTGGGCGAGACCGTGCGGCTGTCCACACGCGCGTCGTTTGCTTTGTGCTTGGTCTGTCATGCTGATCATGTTATAGCCTTGGGCACCAAGACAATCGACGCGCCCGACCTCGCGCCTTGAATGATTTCGCAGCGCATTTGATCCGACATATGCATGCCAACGTGCCACAACAGCCAGTTGCTTCACGCAATCAGCCGAAAGGACTCTGTTGTTCTTCTTCTTGCTCTCAAAAACATAAAAATAAAACACAAAAACCACACACACACGTACACACACACGTACACACGAGCAAGCAACAACAAGGAGGGGAATAAAACAAGATTTTACTCGCTTCCCAGTTCTCAAAACGACGTTGGCAGAATACTTGAAAGACGGCAGGCGACACCATGACGCCCGACTATAAGCACCCAGCCCTTGATGTGGGCATTGACTACAACGTTGTCGGTGCGCTGATCTCATCGCTACTCGCGTTTAATTTTTTTCTCTTCTTTCGATGCCGGCCTGGAGCCCATCCAACGTTTGCTCAATGATCATCGCACCATGCCTGGCGCTGGTTGGCTTGGTACCCGATTGGGTTGCTTTCGCAGCTGGCATCGTTTGTCTGGACATGTTTGCTGGTTTCCTGTGGTATGGTCCCGGTACGTCTCGGCCCTTTTGGGCCCTGCCGGCCTGCTTTATTTTGGTTGTTTACTTTTTTTTTTTTTTCTTTCCATCAGTGGAATCTGATTTACACCATTGCAATCGGCTCGTGTGGGTTCAACTTTGGCGCTCGCAGTGTTTGGCGATGCTTGGGCGCGTGCAATGAAAAAGGATCGCGTATGTTGCATGAATCTTCTCCACGGCCAATGAACCGAGCCAAGATCATGATCGGCTAACCCTGGTTTGCTTGTGTGATTACTGCGGACCAGGCCAACTTTCCTCAAACGACCAACATGGGCGCGGCACTGCTGGGCTCCTTGGTGGCGAGCGTTATGCACGTATGTCAAGCGTGCATTTGGCATGTGTCGTGTGAAGATGATGACGTGAGGGGCTGCGCTGGCGCGACCAAGTAACAAAACTGACAGGTACACGCTGGTCCACTGGGCACGGCCAGACGCTGTTTTTAGCGCACATGCTGCCTCATCTGATCCATGGAGTGACCAAGGATGGTGGCTTTCAAACCGACATGGCGACTCTGACCATGGGCGCTGTCTGGCTCTGGTCGGGCTTCCAGGCCAGCATGTCCATTGAGCAACATGTACGTGAGGCATCCCAGGCATATGGGCAGCACAATGCGGGCCACGTCTTTCACGTCCGCATTTCCAAACTTACTTCTACCCCCGCCCTTTTTCGTGCCTCCGCAGCTCTGGGCTGGAACGGACTACGTGGTGGTCTTGGTTGGCGTGGGCCGCCAGCTGGTGCGCGTTATCATGCTCTCCCTCTTGCTCTTTACGCTTGGCGCCGTCACCCTGCCCCACAACGAATGACTCGACGGACTGGAGTCCTCTGGCTCATTCCAGCCTGCCGTGCATGCATGTTCGAACCTTTGTTTGTCCTGCGATTACTTGGCTGGTTAGCACTAACATCAACCTTGATATTATGCAATACAATACACAAAGGTCAATTTATTCGGAGGAAATACGAAAACATCTGACATTTTCAGACTCTCTTTTTCTCACACACACACACACACACACACACACACACACACACACAAATCTGCATCTGCAATGGGTGTCTCACCGTTACAACGACTTATTTGACACGCACGACCATGAGCGAGCGACCGAGCATGACCTCCAGTGCTTCTGACGACAGCTGGCCAAGCAACGAACGGCACCAGCCGATCGGCTTTCCTGAGGATGACGGCCCCTTGGTTGCTCGAGCTTCCCCGGGAAATGCGTTTGATGCCGTGCCGAACAGTGATACGGCAGAGCCCTCTGGCCAGCCCACCTCAGCAGGTCGTCACTACAACACGTACACGGCGGAAGAAAAGAAAGAATTCTTGCGGTTGTTGGCACAAACCAACGACGGAGAGCTGCTGAGTGACCGAGAGGTGGCAGACATCCTAGAGGGCCACTTTGGCAAGTCTTTCCCCGTGTCGACCGTGTCGAGGTGGAGGCGAGATTTTGAGAAACGTGAGGAGGAGCGTGCGAATGGAGTCATTGACGAGGATGCTCCTCCACTGACACCTTCTCAAGCTCATGGGCGCCATCAACTTCTTGATGAAGAAGACATTCGCATTTTGACAGAGTACGCGGAGCTCTATGGCAAACGCGGGACAGCAGCTGATGCGCGGGAGTACCTTTTTGCACAGAGGTACAGCCACTTGAAGATGAAGGAAAGATTGAGCCCTGGTCAGTGAGCACCAGTACAATATACCGAGCCCTCAAGCGCGTTGCCCCCAAGGCCACAGATAGTGTTTATGTCACACTTGATGTGCGCCGTCACGAATCATTCGGCCCCGACACGAAGGAGGCCTGCTTGAATTATGTTGCGTTTCTTGATGCACTCGATGCGGAATACGACATCTTCACAACAAACGCAAACTCTGTTATTTCTGTGGACGAGAGCTGGCTTCGGGCCGATGCCACCCGTACCAAGGGATTGACACGCCGTGGTGCATCGCGCAGCAGTGCCTCCGCGCCACGCTGCACAGTTTCCTTCTTCGCGGCGCTCACATATGGTGGAAAACTTGTTTTGGCTCGTGCCAACATCGGCAACAGCACAGGCGAGGATACAAAGCGCTACATTGAGGAGACCATCACGGCGTGGCGCCGCAACGAAAATTCTAATCGCCAGCTCGTGATCACGTTGGACAACGCCCGCCATCATCACCGTGCCCTTGATTTGCTATGCGGAGAAAATGAAGTTGAGCGTTGTAAGAAGACTTTTGTGCGTCCCGGTGGCCAAGACAACCCCGAGGACCCCCAATATTGTCCAGCAACCTACTATGAGCTGGATGCGGATCGGTATGGAGGCCCCGTGACTCTTGTACTGACCCCCGAGCATCAGCCTGACTTTGCCCCGATCGAAACTGTGTTTGGGGCTGTCAAATATGCAGCCGAGGGCATTCGTCCGCAAAGCTCGTGGAGTCTCGGTGCCTCGCGTCTTGACCAGCGCTTGGAAAAGATTGTCGATGTCGTATTTCACAGCTATCTCACCGAGGACATGATGACCGAAGCTGTCCACGACACGATGCATTATATCGATGCTTGGCGTAGCGGTGCAGCCACTGAAGACAATGTACGTGCGCTCCGAGATGCGCAGCGTGCGAGAGACAAGAGCGCCTATACGGAGATCAGTCGGGCCAACGGTGGCATTCTGCGTGGCTGGGGCAATGAGCAGTTCAGGCTCGTCCCACTCATGGACCCAAACATTCGAAGCGAGTCCCAGCGCCGCAGATACAATTCAAGGCGAATGCAACAAGCAAGTCACGAGGACGATGCAAACATGGCAGAGTTTGACGCTCGGACAGCCAATAAACGCGTTCTCCGACAACGAGACGTTGCGCGCAGTCATCGAAAGTGAAATTGATTCCCTTCAGAGAGAGAGAAGAAGAAATTTTTCTAATTTTCTGCACACTTGACCTCAAAATTTTGACGAAATTGCCCAATAATGGTACTTGACCCTATTGATGCCGCTGACTGTAAAGTTGTTGACGATGAAGCAGTCAACTGGTAGTATATCTACTACAGGTCTTCAAAAGTAATTGCAGCTAAACTGAGGGTTGTTGCAGGCTCTGTTGTTGATGTTTGACGCGCACTCGGACATCCGACGCCGGACGAACATCATCATCATCTTCAAGAGAACGCTGAGGTCAAGAGGGGCCAAACGCGAGGGGCGGGATCGCTGTGATCAGGGTTAGGACGAGGGGTGAAGATCAGAGCCTGTGTGGTGGGCGTTTGAAGCATCGAACCGGCGGTGGACGTTGTAGCTGATTTGCCAGGGCGGCGATGCGCGGCAGGATGGCTTTACTTGGGCTGTTGGTGCTCGTGTTGGCGCTCGCATCGAGGGGGGCGGTCGCGGGATCGGCGGCAGAATCTTGTTCCCAGGTGTCGAGCAACGCCTGCATTCATAATGCGCAGCGCAGCATGGGTGTGGTGGCCGTCGAAGATGCTGGTGCCTGTTGCCAGCTGTGTTTGAACACCAGCGGCTGTCGTGCTTACACGGCCTGGCAGCAACCCAACGGCACCATGTCTTGCAACCGCTTCACGACCTCCGATCCCACCAAGATCGCGAGCGGCAATTGCACCTCCGGGCTGGGCAAAAAAGTGCCCAACTTCATCTTCGTCTTCCCAGACACGCTGCGTGCAGAAAGCTTTGGCGCGTATGGCAATCCTTTCCCCAATGTCTCGCCCAACTTGGACAAGGTGAGGTCTAGGCAAAGTTGCCACATTAGGCACCGGGCTGGAGCAACGAGCTGTAGATGTGCCTCCTCGTGAGATGCTTGGGATGGCTCTGATTTTACCATTGGTCGTTGGAACTTGCACTTTTAGTTTGCTGAAGAGGGCGTCCGCTTTAACCAAGCCCATGTCATGCACACCCAGTGTTCCCCCTCGCGATGCACCATGGTGACGGGCCGGTACGTTTCGCTTCGCCCTGATGGCCGATTGATTCATTCAGCTGCCCGTCATACATAGCTTGCCGCTGTCCATGTCTTCCCAGATACATGCACCTGCAGGGCCATCGTACGCAAACCCATCTCGTTCAAGACTACGAAGCCAACTACTTTCGCATCTTGAAAGAACACGGCTATCATGTGCAGTACTTTGGCAAGAACGACATGTTCTCTGCCATGGCTTTCAACCTGTCCGTGTCCGCGTGGGCGGGTAACATTGGCTATGCGTCGGGATCAAACCCCTTCCCTTTTGGAGAGACAGGTTATTACTCCTTTTTGCGCACCGGCGCCGGGGCCGTCAATGCCTCAGACCTCTCCAACGGCGACACGCTTGGCGTGCACAACGCCATCAACTTTCTGAACAGCAAGTTCGTACGCTCGCGCCTTGACCAACACTTGCAATGCGTGGCGAGCCCAGCGAGGACAAGACAAGAAGCCGCAGTTCAGAGACGGGGAGGGTCAACTCACCCTTCATCATGTCCTTTACCCCGTCCACAGACCACCGGAGCCGTTTCTGCTGTTTTTGCCCAGTCGCGGTGCCCATCCACCCTATGGCGCACCCGCACCTTTCCACAATCTTTTCACAGCTGACAAGGTTTGGGCCGAGTCTTTCTGTCTCGTTGCACCGTTATCGCATCTCAAAATGCATTCTTTTCGGCACGCCATCACCCCCTTCCACGCACATCACGCGTTTCTTTGCTGTTGTTAGGTCAAGGAAAAGATCAAGCTGCGCCCGCGCAACATTGCCTCCAAGCCCACGTGTGTTGCATCGTTTCCCTGCTGTTGTTGTTGTTGTGCACGCTCGTCCGAAACACCGAAATAGTGCGCCTGTGGTGGCGCCACAAGCGCAGTCTCGAGCTCATGATGACTCGCGGGGACATGAATAGGTACATGCAAAACAGCAATGGCATCCCTCACTTTCGAAACCTGACATATCTGAACGACGACTTTTTCTACCAAATCCAAGCAAATTATCTCAACATGATTGCCTACACGGGTGCGACTGCAGCTTGGGCTGTCGGCAATGGGAGAAATATGCAGGCGGCCTCGCCACCATTGAACATTTGCCAACACCTCATCTAATAACGCTCATCGCGCCTGGCTAGACTGGCTGTTTGGCAACTTGCTGGAGGGCCTTGATCAATCTGGCCTACGCAACAACACGGCCATATTCTTTAGCAGTGACCACGGCGGTATGCAACTGGCCTCCCCGCGGTGTAGTTTGCTTTTGTCTTCCCAGACCTGCGCCAGACGCACACACGGGTCAACCCCTCCCTCTCACACGCTCTCTTTCGATTTGGGGCTGACAGATTTCGGCGGAGACTTTGGTCTGGTGGAGAAATGGCCCGGAAGCATGTCGGATGTGCTCACACGCGTACCACTTTTGGCTCAGGTCCCAGGTGGGGCCAAGAATCACGTCGTGGAGGCGCCCGTGCAAACGGCCGACATCCTCGAGACCATGCTGGCCCTGGCCGAAATCGATGTAGACTTTGTGCGCTTTGGGCAGAATCTCGCTCCACAGCTCGCCGGCAGCGAGGGCCAACTCAATCGCACTGTGTACTCTGAGGGTGGGTTTTACTTTTCCAACGAACAGATGATTGAGGCCAACGAGTGTCTGAGTGGGGGCCCAAAAGCGGATTACTATCCCCGGGGTCTTGAAGAAGCCCAACCCAACGGCTCCCCCCGCGCCGTCATGCTACGCAACCTTACCGCCAAGCTTGTGTATCGCCCCACGGGTGAGTATGCACGTTACTGGAACACCATGCCTTCGTTTGCTCTGAGCCGTTTGCACAAGGTCGACGCTCACCCATCCACTGTTTGATTGGCAGGCATCTCTGAGCTCTACAACCTGACGGCCGATCCATTGGAGCTGAGCAATGTGTTTGAGGATGCCGCTCATGCATCGCTGCGAGCCGCAATGATGCAACAGCTGACGGACTGGATGGTGCTGACCTCGGATGTGACACCCGTGGTGACTGACAGCCGTGGCGCCCCCGGCTATCCATACCCCATTGCTGCTGAATGTGCAGTTGAGCCGCTGCCCGACGAAGCTGTGACTGCGATTGATCCTCTGGATTATCTGGCCATCAATGGTGTGCGGGAATAAGGCAATCGTATCACAGGCTTGTGCATTCTTCATGTTCAAATTGATACAAGAGTGTGTTAGTGTGAGAGGCACGGCCTCAGTTGTCCACATTTGAAAACTGGAAAAAGTACAGCTTGAAGCCCGCACAAACAGCCACATGACACGCCACAACCGTCAGCAGCAAGGGCACCAGCGCTGCTTGAGAGGCATCGCGGATCATGGGAAAGAGATTTTTGCAGAGTGTGGCACCTGGATTGCAAGGGCGCAGCAAGCAAACAGAGCAAGTCCCTCAGCACGGCTCAGGTGCTTCAAGAGGCGTGCTCGCGACGATGGCAGGCGACGGCAGTGCACGATGACGTACCCGTCAATGCAAAGGCAACGCTCATGAGAACCCAGCGGCCCAGTGAGTTGACAAAGGGCATGGCACAGAAGAACTAAGGGCGTTCAAACGCAGGCCCGAGCATGCGTTTCAAAAAACCGTCAACGATTGCGTGCGCGAGAGACAAGTGGCTGGTGGCGCCGTCTGATCAGGCGAGGGGTTGGCAGGACAGACCGCGACGGGAACAAAGAGTGCCATGGTATAGCCATAAAGGCAGAAGATATCAAAGACAGAGGCCTTGGTGCTCGCATAGCGGCATCGCAGGTAGGTCCATAGGCCCAGCGGCACCTGCACGCCCGGGTGTCCCTTCACGTCAGCGCAGCGCAGACCCACACGGGTGGTCGCGGAGAGCAACAGTAAAAACCCAACATGTCGGAGAAAAGAGGTCCAAAACATACCACAAGCACGTAGCTATAGATGACGGTGGCGGCCACCGTGACTATCCGCAAGCAGTATGGAGCGGCAGGTGAGAAGCGGGGAAGGGTTGGATTTTCAATTTTCGGTGCAAGGCTGTTTCGGGTGGCTGCCCACCTTTTCGAAAGTCATAGTGCCAGCCTGCCTTTTCATCGACTGGTGTGGCAAAGTAATGCGCCACATTGCCCGCCATGGCCAGCATGAAAACGAGCGTGGTGGTGACCCAGAACGGACCTATATCAGAAAATTGTAAAAGGGGTGAATAGCTTGGCCAGGTCAAACGAGAGATTGGGGGGCAGGGGGCCAATGGACAAGGGGGCAGACCATAGAGATCGCCATGGCCCTCAACATGCTTGAGAAAGTAGCTGCCAAAAGGCCACAGACCGCGCCGCAGTCGTTCCAAGACCTGGCGCCGCAAAAACACATGCGTCGATCAGGCGCACCCATGAGGAACGCCTGGAGCTGTGAGTCTTGTTTGCCACACATGCTCATGCTCATGCACGCACGGACCTCGGAAGTGTCAACGTCAAAGAAACTCTGGTAGTACTCAAAGGACCAAATCGAGGCGTCTGAGCCGGGTCGAGCGGGGCGAGTCTCCTGTCCATCTTGGTTGTCGGGGATCAGGGCAGCCATCTCGACAGTCGTGCTGTCAAGCGGCTCAACATCATCCTCTGTTTGACGTATCACGCGCGGGCAACCAGATCAGATGACATGGCTAGAAAAAAAGCAATACAGCAGTCGGTACACCGAGCACCATTTGGGCGTACCTAGATCATCCAGATCCTCAACATTGACCTCCTCGCCCTCAAAATCTGGCACGTTGGCATCACCGCGCGCGGATGAGCACCAAATGAAGCTTCCCCATCACCATTAAGAGAAAAAAAAAGAGCCTCGACTTACCCACAAAAGCCGATGCCTCCTCGTCATGGCCATGGCCGCCATGCTTGACCTCTGCCATCTTCCTCACATGCACGCGCGCAGCGTCACCCCTGCCTCAACACCCAAACCCTCAAGACTCCCTGCCACTCACACACACACACACACACACACAAAAAAAAAAAAATCAGCAAAGAGAGAGAGTTTATGAAATACAAATTCAAGAGTACCTTTTAACTTTGCTCAATACCAATTGCGCAATGCTAGCAGCTCTGTGTGTGTGTGTCTCTGTGTCTCTGTCTCTCTCTGTTTGTGTTTGTGTCTGTGGCTGTGTCTCTCTCTTTTTGTCTGTCTCTGCCTCTGTCTCTGTCACTGTCTCTGTCTCTGTCTCTGTCTCTGTCTCTCTGTCTCTGTCTCTCTCTCTTCCAGACCGATCTTGAGGCTGACACTGACAAGAGGCACTGGCAGCGATGCGGTATTGCTCGACGCGCGGGCAGAGCGGCCTGTCCTTTGAGGCGGCTATGCTGGCGGGATGGGCCAATGACGGTGAGGTTGGCAGGACTGGCAGGATTGATGGTGTCCAACTGTACCTTGGCTCATCTGTCACCATGATCAACAGGCGGCATGTTGATGCCGGAAGCGATCCCGCAGCTGACAGCCGACGAGCTCCGCCACTGGAGGTACGGCTTGCGTACACGACTAGCACACGCGCGTATGCAAGAGAGAGAGGGAGAGAGAAGGCATCTCCTGTTATTCACTCGAAAATGATGTGCTGCACCCGGTGGTCTCGCTGCTCAGCACGCTGGGGTATGGGGAACTCTGCTTTGCATTTCTTCGCAAGATGATTGATCCGGCAGAGCTGGAGGATGACGAGCTCAGAGGAATTATTGCGCAAAGGTGCGGTCGACCGACCACACGTATTCTGACTAGCTGCGGGCTCCTCAGGGCTAGCAGGTGCCTGGCTAAACATCAACATGTTTGATCGCTGTCCCAAACTACCGACGCGATGATAGCACGGCCGTGTTTGCACATCCCGACGTGACGCCCGTTCATACCCTCAACACTGATCGGGTACGTGATCGCGCCTTGTCAAACAACGTGGCACAGCTGGCGTCCATGGCACAGCCGAAGAGGTCAGATCTCACGCGACGAGAGCAAACGTGGTGTGCACGCAGGTGGCTGGAGCTTCGTGCTCGCAATTGCACGTGTGTGAGCTTTGGCATGGGCCGACACTCGCCTTTAAAGATCTAGGCCTTCAGGTAAGGTTGAATATCCTGCTTCCGCATCCCGCTCAAGCCCTCACTCCCAGGCCCTGCACTTCATTTGGCATCGTGCCTTGGCGTCGCGCGTGTGCACCGCTGTAGATTCTGGGCAACCTGCTCGAGCATTTCTTGGCACGACGCAAGGATCGCTTAAACGTGGTTGTGGGCACGTCAGGTGATACCGGTTCGGCCGCCATTGAGGCTGTGCGGGGTCGCGATCATCTGCAGCTCTTTGTCCTCTTTCCACATGTGCGAGCAGCGTTGCTGTGCATGGGTCCGCTCGCTGCATGTGCTACACATTGGACACGGCCCTCATGAGGGTTGCGACGTATAGGGCCGCATCTCGCATATTCAGGAGCTTCAGATGACAGCCGGCGCAGAATCGGCATCCAACGTGCATGTGTGGTGAGGCGTTTCAATCTCCCGCTCTCAGTCATCCGGCGCGATCTACTTGGCATCATCGTCAACGGCAAGCTCATGTTCAGTGAAATCATTCGGCTGGAATCTTACGCATCATTTGCTTGGTGGCAGGGGCATGGATGGCACCTCCGATGACTTGGACCAGCCCATTACAGCTGTATTTCAAGACACCGCATTCAAGGCCCGGCACCACCTTGGCAGCCTGAACAGCGTCAACATTGTGCGTGTCCTCGTACAGGCCGTCCATTATTTTTACCTTTATTTTCGCGTCACGCAAGACTCGACGGCACAAGTAAGTTGGTGTCGCAAAGTTGATGCCCTTTTGTGTTCCAGTCTTTGGCCAGACGCGCGTCGACTCACCAGAGTTTGGGTCGGTTTGGTGTCAGGCACCGCTTCGCGTGTTCGTGCCCACGGGGGCTGGCGGGCATGTCACGGGCGGTTCGTTGGTGCACTTGAGTGTGGTACTTCATGGGGTGCGTTCAAAGCGACAATGCTGATCAGAGGATGTGACGGATAGGGCTTTTGGCACGGCTAATGGGCTTGCCGGTTCGCCTCGGTGTGGCCACCAATGCGAACGATCTGCTAGTGCGTTTGCTTACCAAGAGTACATTGGCATTGGCACCCGAGGTAAGTGGTTCTGGAAGCCTAACATGACTCGTTTCACGTAGCACCTGGTAGTGGCTCACCGAACTGTGTCTGGGATGGGGAACGGGCCGCGTCTAGGTCCAAGTCACGACTTCACCGAGCATGGACATTCAAGTGCCCTACAACATTGAGCGCATCTTTCACCTTGTTTGTGCGTGGTGGTACATCGTTGTGGGGCTCGTCAATGGCTTTGTTTGCCGCACCGCGAGGCTTGTGGCTTATCACGGAACTTGCGGAGCGCTGCCGCAGGAGAGGCCTGGCCTGGCACTCACGTTTTTGGCCGGGGTGGGGCCGATGTGCTTTTTTTAGATGGCGACGCTTCATTGGTGCAGCGTTTGATGCAAGGATTTTACGCTGACGGGCATGCTGATGTGCCAGCCGACTTTCTTACTCGACTGGGACAGATGGTGGACTTGACGGCTGTTAGTGTTCCCGATGACCAGGTCTTGGCGACGATCAAGGTGGGCTATAGTAGATGGACCGGGCAATTAAGGCATCGCTGGGCTATGGTGGATGTGTACTAGTTTGAAATGGTCGGGCCTGCTCTTTTGATTCGCGCTCTCTCACTCCCTTTTTTTTTTTTTTTTTTTTTTTTTTATAATGCATGCTGCCGATCACGGTTGACGTGTTTTGCACCTCATGTCTTGGGCAGGCCGTGTGGTCGACCGAGGGCTATCCGTTGGATCCACATACGGCGGTGGGTGTAGCTGCGGCGCTGGCCTTTGAGCGTGAGGTAAGCGTGGGCGGGGTGCGGACGATTACCAGCATTTGCTCCATGGCTTGCACCTGTCTGGACTGACCTTCTTGGCTTTCTGTAGGAGACGGTGCCGCGGGGCGCCATGGCTTGTGCCCACCCAGCCAAGTTTGTGGAGACATTTGCTCAGGTATGGGTTATCGACACGGCCCGTGGTGGACGGCATGACATTCTCACAGGCATTTGGTCGGGCTTGGCGTGGTGCAAAGGCCTGTCAATTGGAGCCCGGGCCTGCATTGGCGGCGTGTAGTGATGCGGGACATCGGCACATATCCAGCGTGGCGCAACTCCACGACCGCAAGGTTGGTCCCACCACCACTGACAGTCTTTGAGCAGGCCACAGACCTGATTTGTGCTTGTGCACTTGCATGCATGTGCGCCCAGGTTGAGTACTCGGTCATCTCACGGGACCAGGACTGGAGTGTGGCCCTCCGGACCTGGATCCAGCGCCATGACGAGGCATCCCTTACGCCCTAAGCAATCAATCTGATGAGAATTTTTTTTTTTTAAAAATTTTGGTGGGTATTATCCATGTGTGACTATTGGCACACTTTTGGTTTAAATCACCAGATATTTGTGTGTGTGTGTTTATTGGTGTTGCTCGTGCAAATAAAAACAAAAAAAAAAAAGAACCCTTTGCCTTGTCACCTTTGAGACTTGGCAGGTCTTGCGAATTGATGACATGTCAGCCTTTGGCCCTTGAACCCTTGCAGCCCCACGGTGCGCGCGTCTGACTGGCTGACTGGGTCATCATCACCACCCACCTCACCTCTCATCATCATTCGCATGGTCAGGCCAGGTGGTGAGGTTTCTTTTTGAGGGTGATCACCGCTTGGTTTTATGTTTTTATTGTGCTGGGGGATGCCTGTTCGTTTGGATCCCAAGGGCAGCGCCGGTCGGGCTGAACGGGGAACGGTCACGCGAACCCCATCGATCCAGTCTGGGTGTGCAAGTGCATCGGGTGTACCGCTGCTGAATTCCCACCTGTTGTCGTTATGGCTTATGTGTGTGTACAACGGTGTGTGAGGTGTGTGCAGGGTGTGTATATACAACGGTGCACTCAAGTGTGATAAATCGTGCAAACAGGTGTGCTTTCTGTGTATGAAATCGTGTGCTATTATGTATCTCATGTATCGTCAAGTGTGTCCACAAGTGTGAACTCATATGCAAATAGGTATGTACTTCTATGTATTAGTATGTGCTCGTGTGTACAAATGTGTGTGTGTGTGTGTGTGTGTGTGTTAAGTGTGTGTGTGTGTTAAGCTTACTACGTTTTGAAGTTCTTTTTTCCCTTTGTAACTGGGGGCATCGCGGTTCCTGCCTCGTGGTACGTTCCGTTCCCTTTGGGTCGCTGGTCTTGTGATTGATCCCCGCTGTGTGTGGGCCCCGGGTGGCGCCTCGCTGCCCTTGCTACATACATCCATCCATCCATCTATTCTCTCCTTGATACAAGCTATGTCTGTCGCTGTTCTCCTGCCAATTCAGTCCCCTCTGGCTCTCCGTCTGCCCTCTTGTTATTGAATGTCTTCTGTCAAAGTCCTTTTGGGCTGCGTGATGTGCCGGCATCGGCAGCGGCATCCGCTCTCTTGGTGTGGCACGTCTTGATCTCGTGTGCTTGATCCTCTTCTTCTGCTTCCGGCTCGCCCCCTCCTTGACGAGTGATGACTCGACGGTCAAAGCCGAGCGCCGTGTCGTGGTCGCGTCAACCACCACCCCGATTGATCACCACCCGTCTCCTCTTTCTCTTCTCGTCTCGTCTCGTCCCGTTGCTTTTCTTGTTTTTCTACTTTTTGCAATCATCACGGCGTCCCCCCATGATCGATCACGCGCCCTACGACCACCACCACCCTCACAAAGAAAGCCTTGCTCTCTTGCGTCAGCCACCTCAATCACGCCACCCCCTCGCGCTTCCTCCCCCTCCCCCCTCTTCTTCCTTGCCCCTCTTCCTCGTGACTCGTGTGCCGCATTTGTCCCTTGCTTTGGAATCTACCCCAAGCCCATTTCTCACCCGCGTGCTTCTGCCATATCTTGGGGGGGCATCTTCTTCCCCGTGGACCCGCATTTTAGGGCTGACTTCCATCGCGCCCGCTCTGACCCCAAGTTCGATTCTACCCGAGCCACCGTCGCCATGTTTGGAAGCCCTTTGAAGCTGCCCCCGCTCTTTATCAAGGAGCAGGAGGACAAGGCCACCATGATGAAGGTCCACACCCGCGAGGAGAACGACTTTTATTGGGACAAGGACAATGAGCCCCATCAAGAGCGCCGCAAGCGCATCCTTGCCGCTCACCCAGAAATCAAGACCCTCATGGGCCCCTGTCCCCGTACCAAATGGGTCGTCTTGGCCACCGTCCTTTTCCAGTTTGCCATGGCGAGCGTCGCCTCCAACTGGAGCTTCCCCGTGCTGTTGGTCCTGACTTACGCCGTCAGCGGCGTGCTCAACCACATGATGATGCTCGGCGTTCACGAGATTGCCCACAACCTCGCCTTTAAGACTCCCCTCTACAACCGCTGGCTCGCCATCCTCGCCACCGTCCCCATCGGCCTCCCCGTGGCCAACTCCTTCCGCCGCTATCACCTTGAGCACCACAAGTACCAGGGTGAACACGATGTCGATGTCGACATTCCCCTCCCCGGCGAGGCCTGGTTCTTCAACAGCACCATCGGCAAGGCCGTTTGGATGGTTCTCCAGCCCTTCTTTTACGCCCTCCGCCCCATGTTCATGCGCCCCAAGGTTCCCGGCCCCTGGGAGTTTACCAACATCATTGTCAACGTGGCCTACGACAGCATGCTGTACTACTTCTTTGGCTGGCAAGCGCTTTTCTACTGCATTGGTGGCTCCTTGCTGGGTTCTGGTCTTCACCCCGTTGCTGGCCACTTCGTTTCGGAGCACTACGTTTTCCTGCCTACCCACGAAACCTACAGCTACTACGGCCCCCTCAACTTTGTGACCTTCAACGTCGGTTACCACAACGAGCACCACGACTTTGCCAACATTCCCGGCTCGCGTCTCCCTCAGCTCAAGGCCATGGCCCCCGAATTTTATGACAACCTGCCATACTACACCTCGTGGTCGGGCGTCATCATTGACTACATCCTCAACGCTGAAATGACTCCCTTCAGCCGCGTCAAGCGCAAGACGCTCTCGCCCAGCCTCATGCAGGAAATTTCCGAGCGCGAGGCTCGCACTCAGCGTTGGTGGTAAATCGAGCTCGCTTCAAGCATGCCGGATGCCTTGCACATCCTCGCTTCCCAGCTGTGAATCTCGAGTGGCCATGACCTGGTGCCACCACGTTCAATGCTTGATTCTTTTTTTTTTTTTTAATCATTCGTTTTGGCCTTGCCCCCACCTTTTTTTTTTTGGCGGGGGGCATGTCACCATCTTGGAAGATACCGGTTTCCTCGATCCTGTCTTCTGATCGCCAAAAGATTTTGCACTCGTTTGTAGTTCACGCGATGGCTTGTAGCTCCATCGCTTCTTCCTTTCTTCTAAGCCGGCTCGATGATGTCTTCTGTCTGTCTACATGCGTGCGCTCGTTGGCCGCGACCCTCCTTAAACAATCAAACACCGATAAGTTCCCGGAAAGCGTTCCGGGTATCAATTTAACATAAAAATTCCAATAGTCTGTCGGTCCTCTTGCATTCTACTCTTCCTCTGCTTGCACCCACCACGTCGGTCCCCTTCATGGCTTGCAGGCCTGTACTATGATAATCTGAGCTGCACGCAGGCACGTTGACCAAGCTGGCACGATACGGCGAATCAAGCTTATTCATCACTATCCAAGGAGATCGAGTGCTCCAGTGGCGTTGGTCCAGCATCAATGTCTGGTTCGGGATCTCCTGCCTGCGCGGGCCACGGAGCACCCTCAACGGCTGCCTGCAGCGCCTGCTCAAACTCATCCTGCCACCAGACCTCGGATGAGCGGTCGGGTCATCTGTTCTCACGGGAAGGCACCAAAGGGGACCATACCAGGTTGATGCGGTGCTTTGTGAAGAAGCGCTGCTCAACATGAATGACAGGAATGTCGTATTTGTACTTGTCAAACCACCGTTCACGCCCGTGGTCCTCAATGTTCACTTGGTTGAGTTGATACTAGACCCAGCCATGATGCGACAGGTGAGAATCCGCGAGTGCGCGCCAATCTTCGCCCACGCCCAGCGTCTCTCACTTACCGGCAATCTGCTTTTGCGCATCACGGCCTTGGCCACATCACACAGGTGGCAGTTGGGCTTGGTAAAGAGCGTCACGAGCACCCGCCGTCCGGCTCCTGCTCCGCTCGCCATCGTTTCTCCGTTTTAAGGTTTCTCAAAAAATTAAAAACAAAAACAAAAACCCTCTTTATTTTTAATTTTGATTGGCATCACTGTTGTATGGATACTGGTGTGAGGGGTGGTTGTTGACACAGGCTGATGGCAGACGGGACGCGCAGGGAGTAAATTGACGGGAACACAAAGACTGCAATAGAATGCTAATGTATGGACAAGGTATTGGGGGAACATAAGAAAAAAATAGAGAAAAGAAGAGTAGAGTCCAAGCTTGCGACCAAGCGCGCATGCCTCACTTCTGTTCAAGGGGGTACAGAGATTCGGCTGCGTGCGGTTCTTAGTCACCAGCGACCTTCATGCGCAGCAGTTCGAGTTGCTTCTGATAGCCGTTCTCCCGTGCTCGTTGCCGCGCCTCGGCATGACTGGCAGCAGCGGCTTGTGAGCGTGCTTCTAAGAACTGCTCAAGCTCGGTCTTGGTCTGAGCAAAAGAAACATGTCGCATCATTGAGGTCAATCTGAATTGTGGTTCCAACGCCCCACAGGCCAGGCTTTGGCATGGCATGTCACAGGGAGAGACCGGTGACCTACCTTGGTGATGGCAAAGTAATGGTAAATAATCCCAATCAGCATCCATGCCGCAATCAGCATGACGACCGTGCTGTTGCTGAACAACTACAAAAGTGAATGCCAAATTTGCCCGATGAGAGAGCGCAGGGGAAACGGCGTCCTTAGCCAGATAGAGAGAGGTAGAGAGAGGGAGGGAGGGAGGAAGGGAGAGAGAGAGAGAGAGAGAGAGAGAGAGAGAGAGAGAGAGAGAGAGAGAGAGAGAGAGAGAGAGAGAGAGAGAGAGAGAGAGAGAGAGAGAGAGAGAGAGAGAGAGAGAGAGAGAGAGAGAGAGAGAGAGGCTCAAGA